GCTTGTTACAGTGACAAGTAGCGGCACTCTCTTGCTAAACTCCGGCTTGGAGCACTAGTCGTCCTAAGACATACTCATTCGTCTCAGTACTAAACCGGCGCAGGGTAGGAAGTCAAGCCAATCATCAACCTATTTCAAAAAAACGTTTGAACAAAATACCAGCAACAGTTCTGCTAACTGACGGTTGTTGTTGCAGTTGCTGCCATTCGCGCTATTGCACACGCTTCTGTTTGCCGCAAAAGCAGAATGTGAAAGAACTTTATTCATTTATAAAACATAACAACAGAATCGTGAAAACTAGAAATGCAGTCTTCTGTGAAATGGAATATGCAGGACAAGAGCACGCTCATTAATGGAGCCACCTAGCAGTTGTAGTAAGAAGTGCTGCAACAATCCAAAAACAGTATGCATTTACGCATGCTTTGGCTCCTCTGTCTGGCACGTAGCTTACTTTTGTTACTGCCACCGCAATCGTTCCCATCGTGGTTGACGCTTTCATTATTTTGATTGTTCTTTTTTTTGTTGTTGTTCCTGTTTTCTCTGACGTTGTCGTTGTTGTTACTATTGTCGTGGTTGCTGCTTCTAATGTTGCTGTCTTTGTTGTTGGTATCGTCGCCGTTGCAGCCGTTGTCGTTGTTGCTGGTGCTATCATTGTTGGTACCGTTGTCGTTGTTGTTATCGCCGTTGTTACTGCTGTCGTTATTGCTGCTGTTGTCGTTGGTGATGTTGTTGTCGTTGGTGATGTCGTTGTCGTTGGTGATGTCATTGTTGTTGTTGCCGCTGTTGTCGTTGACGAAGTCGTTGTCGTTGGTGATGTCGTTGTCGTTGGTGATGTCGTTGTCGTTGGTGATGTCATTGTTGTTGTTGCCGCTGTTGTCGTTGACGAAGTCGTTGTCGTTGGTGATGTCGTTGTCGTTGGTGATGTCGTTGTCGTTGGTGATGTCGTTGTCGTTGGTGATGTCGTTGTCGTTGGTGAAGTCGTTGTCGTTGTTGCCGCTGTTGTCGTTGACGAAGTCGTTGTCGTTGGTGATGTCGTTGTCGTTGGTGATGTCGTTGTCGTTGGTGATGTCGTTGTCGTTGGTGATGTCGTTGTCGTTGGTGAAGTCGTTGTCGTTGGTGATGTCGTTGTCGTCGTTGGTGTCGTTGTCGTCGTTGATTTCATTGTCGTTGTTGTTGTTGCCACTGTCACTGTTGTTGTTGTTGTTGTTGACGTCGATATTGTTACTGTCGTCGTCAGGTTTTGAAAATAAGGTAGGTCAGTACGAGCAATTTTTAAAAGAGAAAGGAATTTCACGCCGTTCTCGTTGCACCGCGCGCCTTTGCAGCAGCACGCATAACTTTCAAGATGTGGCTCTCCCGGCACAGTCCAGCAATACGCATCCTATAAAATTGGAACAGTGATAAAAATAGCTGAATTTATAGGCATCAAAATTTATAGGCAAAAAAAAGAAG